TACCAAAGAATGATAAAAACGAAACGTGGCACATGTACAATATACATATATGATAGCTTATGTATATCATTCATTGTCTTTAGTACTGTATGACCGCCTGCAAGGACGAACATGCCTCTGTACTTCAACTGCAGGCGATCTGTTTGTCTCATGGTTATTGTGTACCTATAACAGAGACTTGCCAGTTTCTCTGTCTCCAGAGTCCCATATGCACTTGAAGTGCTGCATTTGTTTTAGAGACAGAAAAAAAATCCCTTTTCATCTTCTATTGTCTTTGCCCGGTCCTTGACATGTGTCTTTTTCTCTCTTTCAGGTAAATCTCAAGATTCACCTAACACTGCACAGGGAGCAGAAAAGTGCTTTTTGGAGGGGGAAAAACAAAGTCCTTTTGATGCTGATTTCTTTCCCCTCAAAAAACCTTAAGGAAAGAGAGGTACGGAGAGACTAAAATAAGTTCTTGTCTTTGCTCGTTCTTAGCAGATCTCGATTGTCCTTGGGGAAAGGGTGGTCTGCATGTCTGGGAGCGGGGTGGGGACGGGGGAGCTGTAGATGTTGGATGCCACTGACGAGGGGAAGGAGGAGGCCACCTGGGATTGAAAGGTGCTTGACATGGACACCGATGGGTAGGTGGTGGCGACGGATGGAGATGGGTAGGAAGTGTGGACGGGAGAGGAGTAGCAGGAGGTGACTGGAGAGGGGTAAGAAGACACTGGAGAAGGATAGGAAGTGATGGAAGAGGGGTAGCTGGAGGGAGGTGAGGCTGCTGAGACCGGGGTTGCTGTTGCCACCACTGCCCCCACCTTCTCTGCTTTCTTGTCCTTCTGCCGTAGGTGGATCTTTGTGTGTCTTTTCCTCTCGTCGCTGCGGGCAAATTTGCGTCCGCAAATCTCGCAGGCAAAAGGCTTCTCGCCGGTGTGAGTACGGATGTGCGTTGTCAAGTGGTCGCTGCGGCTGAAGTTACGCATGCAGATGCGGCACTGGAAGGGTTTCTGACCTGTGTGGATGCGGATGTGACGCGTCAGCTCATCAGACCGTGAAAAGCGCCGATCGCAGGTCTCCACGGGGCAAGCGTACGGCCTTTCGTGGGGTGGTGTCTTGCTTGGCCGGGTGGGGTACTTGCGCATGCGGCTAGGCTTGATTAGCTGGGACTGGTAGACACTTTTTAAGTCCTGCGAACCAGTCTGGGTTGCAAAAGCCTTGATGGTAGAAAGAGGAGTCAGGGAGGGCTGGCTTGACTGATTCTGGAAGGGCTTCTGGTCAGGAGGGACCAGGCTGATCTCTCCCTGCTGCTGAGGGAAGAGGTAGTCAGGAATCATGGGCACAGGGAAGCTTGTGCTGCAGGTCTTGCTATTGGGATAAGCAGGGGGTGGGTACTGCACTGTTCCAGCTGAAGTGGGAAAAGCCTGGCCCTGGTCTGGGAAGATATCAGAGTTGGAGCTGGAGTAGGTTGGGGCAGCTGAGTAGATTGGGTTGGGTTCACTGTGGTGAATCGAAGAACTGAGGCTGGAGCTCTGAGATGAGGACGAGGAGGTAGAAGAAGACGAGGAAGAAGAGGAAGATGGGACTGAAGAGGAGGAGGATGAGATGGTCTGTGAGGCTGCGGAGGAAGAGCTAGAGCTGGGCGCAACATTGCCTATCAGCCCAGAGAACAGGCCCAAGATCGGCTCCGCCCAGAGGCTGTTGCTGCAGGTGGTGGCGGGCTCAAGGGTGAAGCTGCCTGTATAGGAGATGGGGGGCAGCCTTTGGGTTGGGTAGGTCTGCTCCACCACTGGCTTCTCACAGTTGAAGGGGATATCAGGTAACGTATCTGCAGGGAGCACAGAGAAAGCAGAGACATAAATCAAACTGTCAATATCCAGAGGGAGGGAGAGGGAAACCTGCCAGAGCAGTGGACAGTGTGTCACCCCTCTCTCCTGTCACAGATCAGACAGGTGCCCACACAGAGAAACACCCTCAAACTAAACTCTTTACCCCTCAACCCTAGAAGTGTGTCTATCTAAACAGCAACAGAAGCCGCATGCTTTCTAAACACATTGGCTCAAACTCTCTCAATCTTTCTTTTATTTTCCTACTTCCTGTCTTTCACAAGCTCGAGCACACACACACACAAGCACAGCGTTCGGATTCCTAAAACCCATCACAGAGCCAGAGGCGATTGATCATCGAAACTGCAGTTCAGCCGTTTTTGGAAATGCAATTTGAATTGAGCTGTAGGAGTGTTGAGAAGCATGCGGTAGCAGAGCAGAGTCTGAGTCTTTAGAGACCTGACAAGGATATAGAGCTATCAATAAATTAGTGTTAAGTAAGGTGTTTTTATTTCTCTGTATTTAGTTTTAACAGAATTATAATATTAAACAATAGTGTTCAGTGAGCTAAAGGGGAAGACTGCAAAACTACATGCAGCAGACTTATAACTAAAAATCTTAAATGTCAACTTAAATCAAGCATGACTGTTTAATCCAGTGAAATAGCAATAAACAGCAAACATAAATAATATTTTTGTAAGTTGCATTGCTGTTTCTGTCAACTCTTTCTTGGTTCATCATAGCTCTACAGATGCGTTTGATTCGGTTTTAAATGCAGCATAAACAACCAGAAGCAATAGAAAAAAAATCTCCAGATCTTACCTCCAGCGAGGTGGTCATACTGGTCTCCTGGCTCCCCGGAGCCAAAACCGGCACCTTCTGGTGCAGAAGCAGAGAGGAATGGGGTCCCTGCAGAGCTGAGCATCATCACCTCCTCCAGCTTAGGGTAGCTATCCATGGGGGAGTGAGAGAACCTCAGGGGCTCGGAGTTCTGCAGGGCTGGGAGAATCATCTCAGTCTTGGCTGCAGCCATCCTCTGCTGGTGCTGAAGCTGCAGGGCTGAGACTGCGCTGATGGCTGGTGTTGAGTGCGTGGAGGCTGGGCGCACGTTAGCAGAGCGGTGCCTCGCAGGTGGAAGGAATCACTTAGCCCCGTTCAGGGAGCGCTGCACACTTCTTCTGATGCCGAGGAAGATGCAGCTTTTCTGTCTTTAGTCCGTGACTCTTGCTCTCCCGTGGTCCTGTCGTTGTCCGTGTTTCTCTTAGAGGTGAGTAAAGATCCACTTGTCTTTTCGGAAAAAATCAAACGTCTCCTTTATACTCATTCCCTAAGATTCATCAAAATTAATCTGTTGATTAATTTCGACTTTTTGTAATAAATTACTTCTCCAATTCAGGCTTTTTACCTTTTTGGATTGATGTTGTTTTGAGTTGACGTTTTACTTTTTAATGTGATTTTTCTGTCAGTGAGATCTATTTGTTTGTCTCTCTATCTCGGCTCTAACAGTTGCTCTTGTGGGCTCTCAGGGCTGTCTATGAGCCGAGAGGTTTCCCCGCTCCTTTTATATGTGCTTTGTGACGTAGATGTCCATATTTGGAGCATAGGAAGCCCATATTTAGGCACTGCAGTGGAGGACACATGACGCTGGCCTGGGGGGGAAACAGAGAGGAGAGACTTTATATTAAGCTCTAACAGTAAATTGTGAAGACAACGCCGCTCTTCCTCTCTCCCGAATCAATGTATCTTCATAGACAGCAGCATTATTCTTGCGCTCTCCCGGTCGTCCCATAGATTTGATTTGGATTTCCCATCTGTGCAGCAGGCAGCGCTGCTGCCGGAAAGCCCTGCTCCGCCGTGCCTTATAAGGTCGTGACTACATAAGGACCTATTCCGGTGGGTTTCCATTTCCCCTGTCCTTATTTGGAGCTTCCTTTGGCAAAGCCGATCGCTGTTTGGCAGCGAATGAGAGAATGGAGTGCAAATCATGTCCAACGCTCACAATAACTAATGTTAGCGACAGAATTACGGTCCTGTGTTTAAAAGCGCAGCTTAACTCGCGGTTCGCCTGTAACCACTCTGTGAAACAGAAGAACTGCGCTGCGTGGACCGAGTTGGTGTTTAAACAGACGCACAAAGCAAGCCAAAAACACGACGAACGCTTTTTAAACACAATCCCAACAACTTGTACAACAATTTGGGTCCAAAACACGCAAAACCCAACTGCAACACCAGCTCACGCACAACTTTAACGCCCTTTTTTTCAACAACTACTGATACTTACGAGTTGCATGGACGAGCGTTTCCCTAAAACCTCTGCTTAAGGACCTATTCCGGTGGGCTTATTTATATATATATATATATATGTGTGTGTGTGTGTGTGTGTGTGTGTGGACAATTCTCAAGCAGCGGTCTGAGAATTAGGAGGCTGCAAACTGCTGGATGGCAGCAAACTTCTCCTAAATTAACTTTCCATCTCTTTCGGCGGTGTCATTGATTAATGAGGACAGATAGGTGCGGCTGCTGACGAGGTACGGACCGATCTATCTAATTGAGGGGTGTCCCCTGCTCAATATTCAGGGAATCTCTCTGCCACTCAGCGGCCTAATGGGCCGCGTTAACAACATTGTGCACAGCTGCCAGGACGCCAGCGGGATACCGATGTTACCCCGGCTGCTCCAGTTTCGGCTGGGGCTCCTACACTCCTCGGTGGAAGCTGACGGGAAATCGATGTCTTTCCCTTGCTGCTGACTGGATCTATATGTGAGCAACCTTATTGGGAAATATCGTGGGCAGGAAACTTTGAGGTGGTCCAAGAGAAGGAGAGGGAGGGAGAGAAAAGATGCTGCCGATGAATATAATTAGATTTACATTCAGGGTTTAGTGAATAAAAGGCATTTGAACTAAGTTTAAACTGCCCCATCCAGATGCCGCTGTCACAAGCATGCTATCACAATCGGACTGATTGAAAAAACTGACATAGATCGATGGATCGATTGATGTGGTAACAAAACAATCATTCAGGTACGCACAACTGGCGTTTGGTCTTTGCTGGATTGCATCCCCTTGCAGGCATTTTCCATTCAGCCTCTGGCAAATGTCTCTGTTTACCCCTATTAGAGTGATAGCAAAATTCTGTCATATATTATGAATGATCTGGAGCAGAGGCTCCTTTACAAAATCCAAATATGCCTGGAGTAGATGTCGCTGCTGGAGAATGTGTAATTCTGTTTATTCATCTGGATACTGGACGTATAAATCTAATACATTTTGAAGGTATGTGGCAATGCCTAGAAAAAAATGCTAGCCTGTCACCGTGCACACACACAGTTAACGTTTGGATTTACATTCTGCTTTTCAGCTACAAGAATTCTCCTCCTCCATGGGCCTGTTACTTTGACGATAAAAGACCAGGAGACAGCCTACAATGATGGTGAGTTACACAAAATGATTTTAAATGTGGCAAGGTGATGATACCAAATCTAAACTCCTGTCTGCATCCACCACCGCTGTCATGCATCAGCTACCAAGGTCGATAAATTTGTGGAAAAGCAAAGAAGAAAAGAGCAGAGAGCAGCAGATGAGAGAACTCATCATCTGATGACAATGTAATAAAATCAGGTTAGGGAAAACTCTCAGAAAAGTAATAAAGTAATAAAGATGATAAACAGTTCACAGTGGTTGTTTGGGCCTCTCTTCACTCTGATGCATGGAGGGGGTGGAAGCCAGATGCTGTAAGGGCAGGAGAAGGAGAATTAGTCTACGTGTGTAGATGCTCAGGATCTGTGTGTACTTTTGCATATTTGTGTATGTAGGTCAGCGGTTTCTTCTCATCGGTAAGTTCAAAATAACTGCCCACACAAACCAGGCAGAGGAGTCCTCACCC